AAAATTTACTAACGTTTTCAGATTATCAATACGCCAAACAAGTTCAAAACTTAATTAGATATGACTAATAAACAATTAACACGCATACTTATTATTATTGTAATCTGGGCACTAAAATTCAGTTCTAACAAAAAAATCATCGCATAGCTGGCAAGCGGGATAGATAATGCTAACGTTCAGCGCCTATGGGAATCTACTTCGTCATCCTCATGCCAAAGGCAGCGCTCTCTTCCTGCTGCTCTTTATCTATCCCATAGACATGATGTGGTATTGGCTACTGATCATTCCCGCCTCATCGCTGCATGCAAGATCTCTGCTCGGCAACAGAGATGCCGCCTCCCCAAAAAATGATGCTCGTCTTTAAATTTCTGTGTAATAATTTGCCCATTTAAATCTACCTCTCCCCAATGTAACTCATAAACTTTGTACTTGAGCCATGCGCCCGCCACCCCATCCTTGCGTGCGGCATCTGTGGGTCGCAATATATCGTGTGGGGTAACTCTAACCCCAATCGTTGACCTAAAAACAAGATTCCCTGACATCGAGACCACCACTTTAATTAGTGGATGATGAGTAGGCCACTCAAGACCGTGCCTATTTTTTCAGCTTCTCTGTGATGCTTTTATAAATCAATTCAAAATTTGATATTTATTAGAAGTAGAAAAAACTTCATAGCCTATCAAGAGGCCAGTGTACTTATAGTAATCTGAGCACTAAAATTCAGATCTTCCGCAAAAATCATCACATGGCGATTCAGGTTCCTCAACAACGGCTTTATCTTTAGTGAGAAAAGTCGATTGCCATCCACGGCTGATTGGCGAAGACAGGTCATCGCCTCTCCTAGAACGCATGTATATATCACCCATCCTTGTCCGGTTTCTCTACCCTTGTAGACATAGTGGCTCAAGACTATTGTTACCCCCGCCACTCTTTGGTTCCACTATAATTTTTCATTTAGTTTTCAGTTGCCATAGCAATGTGTACTGAAAATATACACAATTCAAACTGTATGTCTACAACATTCATTAAATAAATATGTAGCGAGTACAAGATTTCTCACGTCTGCTAATGACTACTCGCCTACTCCTATATAGTAATGAAAATTTCTAAACCTAACCCAATTCAAATGCCCCAGGCACCGTGTTGTCTCCTAAATTTCAGCCATTCACCGCTTTTTGCGGTGCGAGACTACAAAGAAGGCTTAAGACTTAATTACCTGAGCCATTTCGTGGTGCGGGGGCATGTTCTGATTGGGGTGCGACTTGTTGGCGGTGAACACCCGAACCAACACTGTTGGTCCGCGGCGCGGCGCCACGACGCAGCGTCCAAGGCGCGGTCGAAGTCCGTGGCCGTCGTCGCCGGAACTCGCGCAGCAGCGCGCTTCCCATCGCCCCGCACCGCCGCGCTGGCGACTCCAAAGATGGATGCCCGCTTTCGTAACGCACGCCGGCGGCAGAACTTCGTCGACCCGCCGACAATGGCGCCATGGAGCGCTTCAGATCCGGCGATCATCCGCTTCGTTTCGCCATCGGGCCGCGCGCCAGCTCTCCTCACGCCCCGGCCGCAAATCCCATAGACGCCTGGTTCCTCACAACCCGCACCACCATCCTAAGCGCCGCCGCTCCACCTCCACCACAGTAGCTCGCCGCCGCTCCGCCTCTTGTCTCCCAATCCACCCTCTGGCGCCGCCGCCACGCCCGCCTTGGTTAGTGCCGATCTGAGTCGCGATCTGCACCGGCAGGGAACCCTAGCCGTGGGACGGGGCAAGTCGCAATCGCAAGTCGTGGGACTGGGAGGGGAGATGAGAAGGTGATGTTTAATTTTTTTTTGGGTTAAAAAAAAGACATCCCAGGGTTCGAAACCTGGCCAATCGGGCGCGAGGATGTGCGTTGAAGCCTTGATTCGCGGTCGGGCCGAGCAGCGTTGAAGCATCGCGATGAAGCCTAGGATGGATCCAGGCCACACGATTGAGTTGAAGCTTAGCAGGGATGTTTGTTAGCCCTTGATTTTAAAGAAGATAAATTGCTGTGTGCATTTTTTCAGGGTGTATGAAGTTAGAGTCCTTCAGCGGGGACGTTTTTCTTGGTAGACCTAAATTTATTTAAGTTTTCAATTATAGTGGAGATAAGCGCTGATATTGTCTTGAAAATATATTAAGCTCGTACAAAGTTATAGCGGGGAAATAAAGCTAAGCTTGCGTATATTACGAGGCAACGTGGCAGAAAAAGCGCTGATTACAAGTACTTTGTATGTAGACGTAAACGTGCCAAATATATCTCGCTATATTGGGCCCGCCCATGCACTTCCTTCTCCGTAAGCAAGGTTCGTGGCCCGAGAAGATATTCCTGGGAATGGGGAATCCACCCATCCACAGTCCGCACCCACCGAATACCCCACTTTTTTCTTTTTCTTTTTCTTTTTTTTGAAAAGAAGCTTCATTAATATAGATAGATTCGTACTTTTATATTTTTCAGAAACATATCAGATGCATACACTCACATTCATCTTCACCACTCCGACAAAGCCACGCCCTCACAACCTATCATTCAAACATATAGGGGAATAGACTTTTAGAAATTGAACTTGACGAAATAGGGTTCTTGTGTTCTTACCCTTTTTTTAAGTCTAATTGTGATTTTGTCCTCATTGATTTAACTTTGTGATTTTACTCTTGCATTTTTGAAACAAAGACAGAGTTTATCCCTATTTCATTTAGAGGAGTTAACATTGCAAGTTCAACTAAAACAGACTAGTTTTCCCATGTGAATTTGCCCATAGTTTTTTAGTAACGTGACTTTAACCTCTATTTTGACATCAAATATTGAGACAACATTTTTTAAAATAAAAAATTGCAAATATTTCAAATGTAAACAAAGTTTAACAAGTTGAACATGCTTACATCCATCATCTAAATCTGAGATGGTTAGGTTAAGGCTAGGGGTTAGTATGATGTTTTTTTAACTCGTTTGTTCGGCATTAATCTAAAAGGGGCGGATGGTGGCTTCCGATTCAAAAACCGAGGATAAAAACACAAAGTTGAAAAAACAAAGGTTTTAATCGTAATTAATCTTTAGAGCAAGGGCAGGAACACCAATCTCCAACGAAATAACTAGTGATGCCTCACTATCAAGGAACGCACTCCCTCCATCCCGTTTTATATGGCGTGAAGAGCTTGATTCCAGATACCAAGATATTTTGCGAAACGAGGTGCTCGTATTAAGGCCCCGTTTGGCGGGCTCGCGCGTGCTCCGGCTCCTACACTGTAGCGACACTGTAGCCGGAGCTGGAGGAGAAAAAACAAGCTTCTCCCCCTCAGAACGGCTCTGTGAGAGAGGAAACGAAGAGAGAGAAAACCGGCTCTGATGAACAGTGTCCGCACATGATGTGAACAGTGTCACGTAGAGGGAGCCGGAGCTGCCCGGAGCTGCACCAAAGTGGGCAAAGCACGCCCCAAACCCGTGAGATCAAGGGGCTTTGCTTTTTGCTTTGTATTTACTGTAGAAAAAACATGATTTCACCATTAATCTTCGACATTTGTTCTAAATCTCTATTGATTAACCCCCCGAGGTGCTCATCTTGGCTTCGCCACTGAGTGTATGTGATGCCTTTTGAGTAGGTCACTCCAGAATACCATATATAGTACGTTTTCTATACTGCCGGGAGCAGTTACTTCCACCGACAATATAAGCACCTGGTGTCCAGCAAGCTAGGCGATGGTTAACGGGCTGACTAACGCAACCCGTTTAGAGTATTTGGATGCGGCGTTCAACTTGAGAGGCCAACGGCCGTGTTGCACCTCCTTGTTTTGTGGGGCCATTTGTAGTTGTTTGTTTCAAAGTGGATACTAAATTCTACGGATGTATATGCTTTCCGTGAATAAAGTATGGACATATACTTTAATACATAAAATGAGTATATCTGCATACATGTATTCGGGAGTAGGTCCATATACTCATGCAATTTTATTATAGAGTATATGTAGCGTTTTTAGGAGAAAAAATATTATGCTAATATGTGGACATACTTTTTGTCACGTACATACATATTAAAATGAAGTGTGTACATCACCAATTAAAAGAGTTTTCAGGAGAAAAAATATGGCACGCTAGTATACGTGCATACTTTTGACGGGAGGTAGCATTAGGCCTTATTTAGTTCAACCCCTAAAGTTTATTCCCTATCTCATTGAATGTTTAGATATATGCAAAAAATATTAAATATAAACTAAAAAAATAATTAATTGCACGGTTTGCGACTAATTTACGAGACGAATCTTTTAAGCCTAATTAGTCCATGATTTGATAATATGGTGATACAGTAACACATGTGCTAATGACGAATTAATTAGACTTAATAAATTTCTCTTGTGGATTACTAATGGATTCTGTAACTTGTTTTTTTATTAGTATCCAAAACTTCATACGACATCCCCATATTACATCCGATATGACACCCTAAATTTTACACCCTGAATTTAAACAAGGCTTTACTGCATACTCGTACAGGCAAACTGATATGCAATTCTGCTGCATCTATAGGCTGACAAAAGTTATCAAAACTGAACATGTCACTACGAGACAGGTTCAGCTATAAACTGAGCTTGCTGCCCACGTAGAAAAAATAGTATAAACTAATACTAATCCAAGATATATAAACAGTAGTATGAACCAATACTTTTACAAAAAAAGGTATGAAGAAATACTTGTTAGGAAAAAGCGAGTATGATGAAATACTAATAGTATGAGTACATATACGTACATACTTTTTATAATGGAGTATATTTTCATACTTTTTTGAATGCATTATATGTACATAGTTTTCAGAATGCAGTATACGTACATACTTTTCAGAATGGAGTATCTGTACATACTTTTCATAATAGTGCATACTTTTGTCAGTAGATTTAATACAGATTCGCCTTTTGTTCCTATATGCTTGCCCCTAAGAGGGACTTTCCATCAGTCTTGAACTCTGACTAATTGCTCCATGTATCTCCGATCCTAATCTCCTCCATCTTGCCGTTGCTTGGCTTCAACTCGTCTCCCGCAGTCACAAAATTCATGGTGCTGTGCAACGTACGCCGGCGATGAAACCAAGGAAAGAGAGGCCATGTACTGCGTGATTGTGATTTGTATTAAGATCAGATAAATAGAATCAAGAAATGAGTATATATATGTACCAGCATGCAAGGCAGAGGTGGAGAGGCATACAGGCGGGCACACGCCCGCGCGGCCGCCGCCGAACGTCTGCTCGGCGTGCTCTCCGATGAGAGGTGCGGTTGTTGCCAAATGAATGCTAGAATCTGAATCCACCGTATCCACCGCATAAAAGCTGCTGATTTGAGAACTCAAGAATCTGCATTACAGAAAACAAGAAATCTGTTCAAGGCGGATGCATACCAAGAAAAGGAAGGGATCACCACAGATCGGGCTGGATCTCTGTTCCGATCCAGTCTAGGGGGTGATCAAAGGACGACGGGAACACCCTACCGCCAGACAAGAAGGAAGATCGACGCAGTCCGTGGTGTTGGACGTTCATTGGAGAGAACAGAGAGACGCCAGCAGCCCAGACGGTGGCCAGCCTGCTTCCGCTCCATGCAGCGCCAGGCCGCCACCGCCCCTTGATGGCGAGATCTACCGTCGCCCCAGCGTGGAGAGGCCATCGCGGCTGGGTGGAGGGGACCGGCCACCGCGGACGGGCGTGGAGGGGATGGGCCGCCGCAGCCTTGTTGGAGAGGCTCCGCCTCCCCTGCGTGGCCCCGCCGGTGGGGGATGGGTGCGGGGGGCGCTGCTCGCTTTGAAATATCTGGCTACCTATGAACGGCGTATCGGCATAAAAATCGAACGGGACCGTATATCCTCTATCGGGTCTACTCATTTGTTGACCCGTTAAGAGCGACGTTATATAATACTCCATGTATCCTTATTTAATGTTTGTAACATCAATCATTCGGACGTGAAAGACCATAACAAAAAAATATTCAGAAGAATAGGACAACGCAAAACGAATATATAGTTACTCTACTATAGCCAGGACAATTATTGAAGTACGCAGTTCCGTCCAGCTGTCCAGACAACAGTAAGAGAGAATAATTGAAGACTTCGCCTCGAAGGCTCCTCCAGAAGATAAGCACGAATGACGCTCCAGAAGGCTCTTCCTGCTCTATAAGAGGAGAAGCCAGGCGCATGCATTGAACACGGGCATTTGAGACGAGCATTCGACACCGCACTCTCATGCAGCACCAACACATCCACTGAAGACTCCACTCCACCACCGCTCCACTTTCCCACATACACCATAAAGACCATGATCTTAGAAGTCCTCTAAAGATCGTCCACCACGAATAAGTAATACTCCACTATCGTTGTATTATTCCACCACTATCTGTAAATTAGAGAATAAAGAAAGTCCCCGTGATCTTCCTACGCTTGTAAGGTAATCCCTAAGGTTTGTGGTAAGTGCGTGGGGTTTCTCGAAAGGGAAAGCTGTATGTAAGCTTGATACGTGAAAATGAATTAAGCTTTCCTATTTTAATCCCTGTCTTCCTTTAAGCTCGTTCATATGGGGGGCGATGTCTCTATGCTAGGGACCTAGAGGAGAAATCTCTGTGTGTGTTGTTCTCGTGTTAGCCCAGGTAGCGACGTTTGTAGAAAACCCTATGTCTGTAGATAAGTTTTCTCTTCGGGTGGAACTGCCTGTGGAGACGATAGAGTCTGAGTCATATGTGTGCGTGATTGGGGATAGCGAGGGAGAAGACCAGGTTAGCCTGGTTCTAAAGCGAGCCAGCGATGCATACAGTGAGTACCGAGTAGGACTAACAAAAGTATAGTCGCGCGACCGGCTAAAACGTTGGTCTCGCCAGCCTACAAAAGGTCCTGAGAAGCATAATCCGCATACATATATTCACTAATCACGCACACACTAATCACGCACGCATCCTGCATCCACCATCACTATAACTGCTTCAAATAGTGCCTAAACAGTAGCAAGAAAAGGCAAGTGCTCCAAATAGTTGCAAAAGAGTTCGGGTGCCTGAGCCACTCCCGGATGAGTGCGTGTGCACTGTTCATAGGCCGAATTTAAATAGTAGCGAGTATTTTGAATAATGCCACGAATTTAAATAGTGACCGCTGAATCCGAATAGTGCTGTGAATAGTAATCAAGAATTTTAAATTTGAATTTTGAGTTCGAGTTTGCTGCAGCAGTTTAGCGTAATCGTGCAACAGTGGTATCGGAGCCTGGTTATTAGATTTTGAATTTGAGGGATTTACTTATATTGTCAAGTTTAAAAAGTTTGTCAGTACAGCCTCAATCAAATACTTTACTTATAATAGAAACTTTAGATAGTCATATTCAATATTATGAGAAAAAATTAAGTAAGATTCCTGAGGAATATAATACATCTATGTTATGTGAATGGTCTGCTATAAGAGAAAAAGAACTCTACTTTAGACGAGAAATATGTAGACTTAATAATATTAAAAAAGATAGAGAATTAAAGAATAAATATTTTAAAACACCTGTTGCGATAAAGAAATAGGAAGATGAGTTAAAAACTAAAGACAAAGAGACTCATAAAGTTAAATAAATTGAGCAGATAAATAATATTGAATACATTACAAATGAAGAAGAGCAATAGGAGATTAAGAATAAGTTTTTATTAGAAAGTTATGAAGAAGAAGAAAATAATGCTCAGAGTTACCAAGATTTTATAGTCTCTTTAGATGATGAAGAGTTTCGCAATCTAGATAATGCAATGGAAGGGTTAGATATAATATCTGAAATTATGAATAGTTCAATAGAAACAAAAATAAAATTAATGAATCAAGAAGACTGTGAGCACGATAGGATAAAAGGAAGAGGTGATTATAATATAAAATGTGCTTTTTGCATATATTATCCTAGTTAGGAAAATAGATTCACATGCAGCATATGTTTAAAGCAAGCATGTTCCTCATGTTTAAGAACCAATAACAACCAGAAGATAAATTATTAGCAAGCAGAGTCAGAAATTTAGAGAATAGAATAAATAGCTTAGAAACAGAATTAGAAGAGCTAAAGAGTAAAATAGAACTCAATGAAATAAATAAGATAGAAGAAAATAATAAAGACCTTACCGAGTTAAAGGATCAAGCAATATTAAATAGAAAAAATGATAAAGCGATACAATTAAAAGAAAGCAATAATAAACTTTGGTAGTAAATATATAGTTAGATTACCATTTAAAAAGGTTATAGGAATAAGAGTACCTATAAAAGTAAAATTAACGCCTAATATCTTCTATAAAATATTAGCGTTAGTAGACACCGATTGTTCAAAAAAAATTATACATGATAAATATTTTATAAAATATCTAGAAATAGTTCATACAATAGATCAAGATAAAGCAGAAATATCTACTGATATGTCTGGGATAAAAAAGGTTCAGAAATATCTACTGATATGTCTGGGATAAAAAAAGTTCATAATCAATTAGCTTATGATGTTGAAGTATAAATAAATAACACAAAATATATAATGGATGAAATTACAATAAGAGATCTATCTATGATACATGATGATATGATATTACGATTAAGATTTTTATAATTCTCTTTACAAACAATAATCATACATTAGCAAGGAATAACATTTATTCCTTATCAAGACAACATTCCATATATAACAGAAGTACGAAAGACTATAAATTCTAATCCAGGAAAGATCAATTTAGAACTCCATGGATCTGATGAAAATGTCCCTGATAATTATATAGATGAAGAGCTAGGTAAAAATATAGAAGAATTTCATATAGCAAACTCATGTATAGAATGTATCAGTCTGCAATCATTAGCACCAAATTAGTATAGAGATATAAAATCTAAAAAGGATATAGATAAAATTGTAAGAAGATTAGAAGATATTCAGATAATTGGAGAAATACCAATGAAGCATTGGGATAAAAATAGTATAGTATATAAGATTAACATAATAAATCCTGACTATATAATCAAGACAAGCCCTATAGATACAACACCTAAAGATATGGAAGAATTTAAGATGCATATCGAAAAATTACTAAAATTAGGAGATATAAGAGAAAGCCGAAGTCCTCATAGATCAACTTCAATTATAGTTAGAAATCATGCTGAAATAGCGAGAGGAAAGTCAAGAATGGTTATTAATTATAAAAGACTAAATGATAATACTATAGATGATGCTTATAATATTCTAAATAAGCAAGAATGGATAAATAGAATACAAGTAAGTAAATATTTCTCAAAATTTGATTTAAAAGCTGGATTTTAGCAAGTAAAAATGGTAGAAGAATAAATAGAATGGACTGCTTTCACATGTCCTCAAGGTCATTCTGAATGGCTAGTAATGCCCTTAGGATTAAAAAATGCCCCTGCTTTATTTCAAAAAAAATACAAAATATTTTTAATGAAAACCAAGAATTCATATTAATTTATATTGATGACCTATTAGTTTTCTCAAAATCCTATAAAGAGCATATAGCTCATTTGGAAACTTTCATCGAAAAGGTAGAACATCATGGGTTAATATTATCTAAAAGGAAAATGGAGATATTTAAGGAAATGATAAAAATTTTAGGTCCGAAAATAGGAGAGGAAAAAAATATTTACAAGATCATATTGCAAAGAAAATCTTACAATTTACATATGTCATGAATGATAACAAAACCCTACAGTAATTCTTAGAAATAGTAAATTATGCTAGAAATTATATTAAAAATTTAGCTAAGCTAGCTGGTCCATTGTATGCAAAATTAAGAAAAAACGGGCGAAAACATTTTAATTCTAAAGATATAAAGTTAGTAAAAATTATTAAAGAAAAGGTTAATGATTTAAAACCCCTAGAGTTATCTTTAGATGATATTATTTTATTATAGAGACAGATGCATCCGAATTAGGATGGGGTGCGATATTAAAGCATAAACCACACAAGTACTCTCTAAAGTTAGAAAAGAAATATGTAGGTATGCTTTAGAAAAATATAAGTTAAAGAAAATAAACAATACGAATAGAGAGATTTTAGCTGTTATCAATGCAATAAATGCTTTTAGATTATATCTAGGATTCAAAGATTTTGGGTGCCTGAGCCACTTCCGGGCAAGCGCTTGTGCACTGTTCATATTTTCAATTTAAATAGTAGCTAGTATTTTGAATAATACCGTGAATTTTAATAGTGTTGTGAATAGTAACTTGTGAATTTTAAATTTGAATTTTGAGTTCGAGTTTGTTGCAGCAGTTGAGTGTAATCGTGCAACAGTGGTATGCAGCAGCTTAGCGTAATCGTGCAACAGTGGTATCAGAACCTGCTTCTTAAATTTTGAATTTAAGGGATTTACTATAATCTGTTGAAGATTGAAAAGTTACGTTATTTAAATTTAGAAGTTAATACAGGAAAGACAGTCAATACTAAAGAGAATATAAATATAAAGTGTAGACTAAATAGCTTTGAAGAACATACTTGGCATACCTCTTACGGACAGAGTAAACTTAATATTTGATTATGTACATAACTTTTACATATCTTGAGAAAAGAGGCAAGACGATCTAGAACTAAAATTTGACATACTACAAAAGGAACATAAGCACCTTGAAGAGCAATATTCAGCTACCACTAATAAATTAGAATTAACATTACAGAGTTTAGAAG